GCCTTTATTCCGTTGGCTTCGATCCTGCCAATAATTAGTAGTAGTAATTGGTTAATATCTGCATCCAGAGAACAGACAGCCAATTATTCCAGGATCAATGCTTAATGTACATTGTATGACATTTAAAGGAGCTAAATCACGATTCTTTGGCACCTAGAAATGGACACAAATGGCTCGTAACACATATAATAATGTAATATGAATATATATAAACTGATTTACATTCAATCGTTTCTGTTTATACTGTAATTTCCAATCAGTTACATGTATGTTCGGCGAAATATGCGAAGAGTTCTACTTGAAAGGCAGTCTTTGGTGTCTGGTTATTCCAGTCTACACCGGTAGTATTCTCCTGTGGGGTATGTTTGGCCTTGTTCTTCCGAGTCGCATTCTGGCTCGCAATTCGTGTGCCAATATTGAAATGTTCATTTTGTCTTAAATATTGGATCAGAAGCCCATCTATTCATGGTAAGATAACAACATCAATGTTGATTTAAATTGACCATTAAGTCGTGTTTGCAATGTTGAAGACTGTGGATGATATTGAGTTAGCAACTTTTAAATGGTTATGGCTCTATTCTCTGGAACCATAATCGTTGCCAAAAAGTTTTTAAATACTCAAAATATCTCTAAAATGACCATTTCACTGCAAGTGTCAACTATTTAGATTCAATAATCTGAAAGAATTTTGAAAAAATATTGAAAATTATAAAAGTTACATTTTGAAGAAGGAGAATTGACTTCCAAGAATGATTTGATTTCATCTGTGTTCATGGGTGGTTGAGTGACCGAATGGTTAGTGTGTGCGCGCTGTATCATCAGGTTTGTCATTGAGTCAACTGGAGTGGTTTCGATTCCCCAGTTGTACGTGACAAGGAGTAGGGTCACCTGTCCAACCTTGTGGGTTTTCTCCGGGTCTTCCGGTTTTCTCCCACTGCTAAAGACCCCTACGTGGAAGCGAATTATTGAAATAAAATTGAACCATGTGTTAGTCCCGAAATGACCTATTTTGTATCGAGTTGACATTAAACCCCATCTCTCTCTCTCTCTCTTTCTCTCTCTCTCTCTCTCTGTTTAGTTCAAGATTTGTTGGGAGATTGTTAGTGTTACTTGACCAGTAGTGTAGCAAGATGTACATCAACATGGTCAGTGTGTTCAACATGTGGTGTTATTGTAGTGTAGTATAGAATGTTGATGAAGACCTTCCATTCATTTCTTACATTACTACTACAGTTTGTTTTATCAACATCTCATGGTTTCAACAATATGTCTACATCAATCAGATATCTATATCTTCAATACAAAAAAACATGTCTTCATCAATCAAATCTGTATATATCTCCTACACAACTGCAATATGGCTACATCAATCAGATCTGTATATATCTCCTACACAACATAGGGTGTTGGATGGCCGAATGGTTAGCGTTTGTGCGCTGTATCATAAGACCTGTCATTGAGTCAACTGGCATGGTTTCGAATCCCCGGTTGTACGTGACAAAGAGTAGGGTCGCCCGTCCAACCTCGTGGGTTTTCTCTGGGTCCTCCGGTTTCCTCCCATTGCTAAAGACTCATACACGCAAGCGAAATATTGAAATAAAATTAAACCATATGTTAGTCCTGAAATGACATTAAACCCCATTTCTCTCTCTCTACATCAATCAGATAGGCCTATCTATATCTCCTACAACAATATGGCTACAACAATCAGATATCTATATCTCCTATACAAAATGTCTACAACATGTCTGCTCCAACCTGGCATATGCTATGCTGTGTGCTATGAGGAAAATTTTGCCCGGACAGTGGCACTGGGGCCCACTCTTATTTCGAATTCCAACTGCCAAGGTATCTTTTACTTGTACGTGGGACCTTGGTTTTTCGTCCCATCTGAACGACTACACATTGTCCCTTGCCAGGTCCTCTATCCTGTACCACTAAAGAAGGGGGGACCACGGCGGAAAATCCAGATGAACTTTCTCGGCCAACGCAGGGATGAAACATGGGATTTCCAGCCAACGTTTTACTCACTGAGTCAATGTGGCTTCTACATAAAGAGGAAATATAATCTCTTATTAAGTGGGTGACAGATTATGCGGGGCGTAAAAATTATTCGCGAAATAATGTTTTGTCGATAATTATCATAAAAACATCACCTCTGTCTAATAGGATAGGAAATCTGTCATTGAGAGGGCGATTGTTTGATATTAATTGGGGTTTGTCTATAAAGCGTGTCTTCGTGTACATTGCTAAACGTTTGATGACTGACAAGTCAACAAGTCGTGTTGGGGGATCGTAGACGTTTATTTACAACACGCTACAAGGTCTTGTGGTTTTGTGTGGTTTGGTTGTTTGTCGTGTGTAAACAATGAGGACTGATTGATTTTAAAGATAAATGGTTTGAAACGTGTTTTTTTTTTTATTGTATCTAAAAACAACTCTATCTGATATTATATCAGTATTTGTGTAATTTCATTAGTGGTATTATCGTGACTTTAATTAAATTAGATTTATTCCTTTACCAAGTTATAATATATACATGACACTAGAGATATGGTATGGTTTAGAACAGGGTTTTTGGCACTGGAAAGTATGCATATACATTGTAGTTTACTTTCAAAACATCGTTCGATAATTGAAAAAATTCGTTTAAGAATTACAAAAATGGTTTAGTTTAATGGTAATGGGTTTAGTTTCTCCGAGAGGCTGAAATGATTGACCTACATGTATCTGTCTTTATTCCTCTACCAGAGAGAGAGAGAGAGGGGGGGAGGTAAGGTCCACTAACATATGTTTCTATTTTATTTCAATAATTCACTTGCACATAAGGGTCTTTAGCAGTGGGAGGAAACCAGAGGACCCTAAGAAAACCCATGAGGTTGGACAGGCAACCCTACTCCTTGTCACGTACAACCGGGAAATCGAAACCAGGCCTGTTGACTCAATGACAGACCTTATGATACAACGCTTACGCGCTAACCATTCGGCCACCCAACCCCACTACGACCAAGTTAAATACATGTATGTATGGACGGTTGAATGGCCGAATGGTTTAACACATGTGCTTTAGATCATAAGGTCTGTCATTGTTTCAAGTAGTGTGGTATTGATCCTTAGACCCCTACCAATATGTGAATTACTGGTATTCACAAAAAATTCCTAGCTTGTGTTAAGTGGACTTAAACTTCATTTCTATATCTTGCTGTCAGTCTGGGTGTGTTGGATGGCGGAATGGTTAGCATGTGCACGCTATATCATAAGGTCTGTCATTGAGTCAGCTGGCGTGGTTTCGATTCCCCGGTCACCTGTCCAACCTCTTGGGTTTTCCCCGGGTCCTCCGGTTTCCTCCCATTGCTAAAGATCCCAACACACAAAGTGAATTATTGAAATAAAATTGAACCATGTGTTAGTCCCAAAATTACCTAGTTTGTGTCTAGTGAACGTTTAAACGCATTTCTTTCTCTTGCTCTCGGTCTGTAGTGCCGTTAAAATTTGAATTAAAATAACATGAAGCTGATGTGTAGTACCAGAAAGCAGGAAAACTATTTAATGAAGGTACCGATAGATGCCCTGAGGTGAAATCAATTAACTATATGAACATTATCATCGGTAGAGATTGTACAACCTGATGTCAGGTCATCATTTATTCGTGAATCACTGAACGTTGATTAATAAAATCTCCCAAGGCCAAGACTGACAGTCACTTGATGGAATTGACTGACGTCCAGCCTTATTCAACTAGACTCTTTGTTTATTGTCTGATAATAGATTAATAATGTCTGGATGAGGTGGACTATGTGTTGTCTAATAATGCCTGAATCATCTTGGATACCAGCACTCAATGACTGTTGCTGTAAGAGAGAAGTTTCTGCAGGCTGGCAGACGTTATACAACCTTATTCCATTGAGTACGAAGGGATGTGTCATCAATGGCTTTAATTAAATACTCTAACGTAAAAGATTTCCTGACAGTTCAATATTTAAATGTATTATTCCGCACAATATTTATAGTATAACTAATTCCACTGCCATGGATATCTATATGAATTTGTAATTTTTCTTGTCTAATTTCAAATTATCGAGAGAAGTAAAGTTATTGATATTAAGCCACATGTATTTTAATATTAGTTCTTCACAAAAAAAAGATCTGACATGACAAATCTGCAGACAAGACAAATTACACAGATATTGCAAGCAATAAACAACAAATATCAAATCAAGTGAAGGGATCCTGGAGCCAACTGTAAGCATCCACTGCATTATAATTAGATCATAAGGTCTGTCATTGAGTCAGGTGGTATGGTTTCGACCCCCCCCCCCCCCCGCCTTTGCTTGTACGTGACAAAGAGTTATGTCCCTGTCCAACTTTGTGTGTTTTCCCCAGGTCCTCCAGATTCCTCCCACTACTGTAGACAATTACATCCAAGTGAATTATTGAAATAAAATTGAACCATACGCTAGTCAATCTCTCCCAGGGGTTTACTTTTTAAGTCTTTATAGGGGTTTACTTTTTAAGTCTTTATAGGGGTTTACATTTTAAACCTTTATAGGGGTTTACATTTTAAGTCTCTATAGGGGTTTATGTTTTGAGTCTTTATAAAGATTTACGTTTTAAGTCTTTATAGGGATTTACGTTTTAAGTCTTTATAGGGGTTTACTTTTTAAGTTCTTTATATTGGTTTACATTTTAAGTCTCTATAGGGGTTTACGTTTTGAGTCTTTATAAGGATTTACGTTTAAAGTCTTTATAGGGATTAACGTTTTAAGTCTTTATAGGGGTTTACTTTTTAAGTTCTTTATATTGGTTTACTTTTTAAGTCTTTATAGGAGTTTACATTTTAAGTCTTTATAGGGCTTTACATTTTAAGTCTTTATAGGGGTTTACTCCTGATAAAATCTATTAACATAAGTAAATGGTTGTGTTTATAAGTCCACAACATGTGTGTACATGTATATTAAGAATTATAAAACTATAATTGTTGTTATTTTGATATTTTTCAGATAACAACTTTAGTAAACCATAAAGATAAAACAAAGGTGAGCGAGAAAGCCCAGAGAGCTCTGGTACGTGTCGGTCAACTGGTGAATTTAGCCGTGGAACGTTTCGTAACAGTTGGAGAAAGTATAGCATGTGAACATGTCGAGATCCAAGAAGAAATGATGGACGCTTGTCGAGAGGCAAAAACAGCAGGTCTGTAGGATTTTTTTGATGACAAAGAATAAAACGAACACGATTATTAGAGGCTTTAACCCTATCTTTATTGGTTTAGACTAAGCATAGATAATCAATTTGATTACTCGATACTTTTGAAAAAGTTAATTGTGCAATTAATTAATATGTGTCATCTGTTTGTTTTGGGATTTCGACGGGGGACATCAGCCTCAATGTTGGCCGCTATATGTTCACTAGCTTCCTGTGGCCATTTCTACATAGCTATTTTTGAGAGCCGCTGTGGCTCAGTGAGTAAGACTGGTTCGCTAACAAGGAGGTCTTGGGTTTGCTCTCAGTGTTTGTCGAGAAAGTTCCTTTAAATTTTCCGTAATTGTTCCCCCTTGTTAGTGATGGAGGATGGAGGGCCTTTCAAGGGACAGCGTATAGGCAATCGGATGGTATAAAAAACTAATGTCCTGTGTACCCATTTGCGTGCACGTAAAAGACCCCTTGACAGTTTGAATTTGAAGCATGGCGTATGACCGTCTTCATTAGACCAAACAGTGCAGAAAGGTAGGAAGTTAATTAATTATTAATAAGAGAGAGAAATGGGGTTTAACATCCACTTGACACAAACTCTTTCATATAGGAACTAACATATGGTTCAATTTTATTTCAATAATTCGCTTGCGTGTGTCTTTAGCAGTGAGAGGAAACTGGAGATTGGACAGGCGACCCTATTCCTTGTCATGTTCAAGCAGGGAATCGAAACCACGCCACTTGACTTAATGACAAACCTTGTGATTTCATGTGCACATTAAGCCATATTGATTTGATCGAGTCAATTGTTTATTTTAGGTTGTAATATCGAGAGTGCCACCAAGTTGGAGTATCCCATACAGAATGGTATTGATGCCCTCGCTAAACATCTGGCAGACAAATCAGCCATGATACGATCGGCACGACAATTATTATCGGCCATCACTAAAGTATTATTACTAGCAGACAGAATCGTAGTTAAACAACTACTTCTTGCCAAAGATAAGGTTAGTGGCGTCAAATTTTATACATGTAGCAACTGCAATCTCATTAAAAAACAGATGTATATTTCATTTTTTATGCTTTCAATGACCTACACTATATGAAGATCTGACCGGTTGTAGTGGAAGGTCGTGTCAGATGTCATACCAGCGATTTTTGATCCTATGGCGTCAGACATCTGATTAACCAATCAACGTTGATGTTTCTAGTGGGTTACCCACAATTCCGTGCACCTCACACCAAAAACTTGCCGTAACAGACCGTTTCATTGGCTAATCATCCAGAACGTTGGTTATATAACAACTCTTCCAGATCCTAGTGTAGTAAAGACAAGTAAAACAAAATTTTGAACTATAAAAAACGAAATGAAATAGGATCTGTGTTTTAACCAGATTGGTAGCAACTGCTGGGTAAGAATCATGTTAGATCAATATCAGAGGTACTGGGTTTGTTCCCAGTATACCTCAGGATTTACAAGTCTATAGTTTCTCCTTGTCAGTCATGCAGGTCAAGGGCCTGGCAAGGAAAGTCTTGGGTGGCGGGGAAAAATTCGCTCATAATAGTCCTACACAGCATGACGTTTGACCATCTTTATTTGCCCTGTTGATGCAGATGTTAATAGCCAAATATAGAAACTGTCTATTTCCATGTGTAATTATTGCTGTGTATTTTTTCAGGTATTCCACAGTTTATTGATAGTTGAAGCCGTCACAAATTTTACTGATTTCGTGAAGTCATTCAGTCAGTTTGGTACCGATATGGTGGAGCTTGCTCATTTATCTGGAGATCGACAAAATGTAAGATAATTTGTAAAATCTGGAACTAATAAACATACAATGTGACAATCAAACTATAGACTTCTTTAATTTGCATAATCGACATCTAATATTTTTTAATTTGTTTCTAAAAATTGTTTTATTTTTGTTAAGACACTCAACAAATTATGTGACAGTACTGGTTAAAATTTTCTGTAGGACCTGATGCTGCTCTTGATGGTCTTTTGGCACTGGATTCTACTAAATATTTGATTGGTTAAATTGATTTGATTATATTGATCTGATATGTTGATTTGATTTGATATTGATATATTTGATTTGATATAGATATATTTGATATTGATATATTGATATACATGTATTTGATATATACATGTATATATATAAATTGATTTGATATATTTCAGGATTTAAAGAGTGAGAAACATAGAGCACAGATGGGATCAGCTAGAGCTATATTAGAGAAATCTACCATGATGCTCTTAACATCATCAAAGGTAGGGCAATATACATATAGTTAATACTTCACCAACTTACCAGATTAGGACACAATTATCACATAGTCTTGCTGGATTGCAAGAGTGGTTGATAATAGTGCCGTACTGAATTGATATTGAAAGTCATTTAGGTCATTTCACAAAGGGGTATTTTAGCAGTAGGAGGAAACAAATTGACCCAGAGAGGACCGACAAGGTTGGGGAGGCAACTTGACGCCTTGTCACATACATGTACAAGCCTGGGATCAAAACCATGATTTAATGACAAACCTTATGATCTAAAGTACAGGATTCAGACCACATGAACACACCCCTTTGGTATCAAGCTTAGAAAAAAGATTAAAAAGTAGGAATGTAAACCCTATTTAATTTCATTTCATAAGCAGGATTTCATTGAATCGAAATTATTATAAACTGAATGTTACTTATTTCAGACGTGTTTACGCCATCCAGATTGTCAGGCAGCAAGAAGAAATCGTGACGGTGTTTTCGTACAGATGAAGAGAGCGTTAGATCTGCTACAACATGTGGTAACAGATGGATCTGGTTTATATATGAATGGAAACTCATCGCCCACAACTAACGGAGATTCGGGAATCGCCTTAAATACATCACAACCCACGGCCAGTCGGGCATTTAAAGATTTTGAAGTAAGTTTATAGATCGTTTTAATACAATTTACTATGCAATGTTCCGATGAGGATACTCTCGTTTTTGTCAGGCGAATGATACAGGATGTAAGTGAACCAGACGAAATGGCACGCTTTGTGCCATTGGTTTAGAACGATAAGAGGATACTTGTCGAAACGTCGTGCTTTTAGAATAAAACCAGTGATTGTTTCCCATAAAAATTGTGTTCTGTTATTGTGTACCCCAATCACTACATGCCACTTAAAGATTAGAATTTTTGAGCCATCTTTCAAATTGAAAAAATTCATGTGGTTTCAATGCATTTTTCAACCCTATTGGCCAAGTCTTATATCCACGTCTTAATATATTGTTCAACCAGTGTTAAACATACACCGTATCTGAGATACTGTACAAAAACAAATTCAGCATATTCCACACGGCCCTAAATTTCTCGGCTGTATGCAACAACAATAAGAATGGAATGAAACACAACTTTGATCCGCTGTCATTCTGTAGGTTTAGTGGTAAATGATCAGCAGTCAAAGTAATTAAAGGACAATATTGGTGTCAGTCATTATCACATATGTGATGGAACTGATGAGAGTCAATTATTTTTTTTGATTGTTAGATATCCCCTCACAGCCTCACAAAACAACATTTGGTCTTTGTGAAGGATTTATTAGTGAGCAGAAATTTTCCCGTTTATCTGTTATCACTCGTCACTTCAGTCAGTTCTATAGAAGGATAACTCGTGTTTTCCATTTGCGTTTTTCACTTCCCGTTCTTGAAATCTTCATAACGCATCTATCGTAGCAGTGATCTCTGTGTTAAAATTATATTTGGAAGGTGTTTAAACCAGTTCTATCACATATGTAATAATGACTGACACTTATATTGTCCTTTAAGTGTTAAGTGTATAGATTGTCTACATTTTATTTCGTCCAATGAAAAACATCCTGACATTCATAATTATTTACAGGACCAAGTAGAATTGACAAGGATCACTCTCATTGGTCCAGCAACAGAAGATAAACTCCAGGGAGCATTTGATGCTGTGGTTGAAGGTGTTCAAGATTTTACAGACTCCGCCTACACGTCACATGATAACCGAGAAAAAATAGTCCAACTTTCTGACAGTCTTCGTGATCAGCTACATGTTTTAATCAAGACAGGCCACAATGTTGTAAGTTATTGTCATTTATATTGGCGTGTTTTGTAATCTGATAACAAAATGAAATGGAGTTTCACACCCTACTTTTCTTGTTCAACTTGTTACAGTAGCGTTTTTATACGCCCACATTTTCATGTGGACGTATATTGTCGTCGCCCCTGTCCATCCGTCCGTCCACAATTGTTTGTGAGCAGTCTACAGGTCACAATTTTTATCCAATTTCAATGAAACTTGAAATATAGGTTTATCACCCTAAGATCTCGGTTCCTTTCGATATTGGCATGTATCGGACTGTAACTTCATGGATTATGGCCCCTGATTGTACGAAAAATCACGTTTTTAGCTTGTGAACACTGTAGAGGTCCGATTTGGTTTAAACTTGAAATGTATGCTTATAACCCAAAGTTCTCAGTTCCTTTCGATATTCGTGCATATCGGAATGTAATTTCCTGAATTATGGCCCCTGATTGTACGAAAAATCGCCTTTTTAGCTTCTGGACCCTATAGAGGTCATAATTTTTATCCGATTTAAAAAAACATAAAATTGAATCGTTGTATCACAATTCACCTTCTCACGATTTGCATGGTTTCAATTCCCCGCTTGAACATGACAAGGAGTAGAGTCGACTGTCCAGCCTTCTGGGGTTTTTTTCGGGGGTTCTTCGGGTCGCCTGTTCAACCTCGTTTCCTCCCACTGCTAAATACCCCTACACACAAGCGAATTATTGAAATAGATTTGATCCATATGTTAGTCCCGAAATGACAAATTTTTTTGTCGAGTGGATATTAAACCCCTTTTCTAGGGGTCTTTAGCAGTGGGAGGAAACGAGAGGATCTAGAGAAAACCCATGAGGTTGGACAGGCGACCCAACTCCTTGTCATGTACACCCGGGGAATTGAAACCAAGCTAGTTGACTCACTGACATACCTTATGATACGGTGCGCACGTGCTAACCATAGAGGTGAGATGATAGTATGACAGGTATTCTAACATTCTACCTGTATCTCACCTGTTTGTTTACTGACCAGTAGTCGGGTAAAGTTCACACATTACAGGTGTTACACACGTTCGTCAATACACTTTGATTCTGGGCTATAGAATGATCTACCATGTCCTTCAGTAAACCCTGATTCCCACCCTGATTCCCAGGTTATAGAATTATCTATCTAGAAGTTTAATAAAAAAACCTTCTCAATCAATTCAGCATCATATATCAATGAAATGAAGTTTAAGGTCCTATTTTCCTGCATCAACTGGGCTAATGAAGATAAACATATAAAATTCTAAAAGTTGAGGGTTCTTTTACGTGCGTGCCAGCCTGTACACGGGACAATTGTTTTTATTCCCAACAGATAATTTGATGAGGCTTTTATGTCTGCGCCAACCTGTACACGGGACAAATGTTTTTATTGCCAACAGATAATCTGATATGGGAGGGAGGTTTTTATAAAGGGAAGAACTTCCCACTAAACCAAATCCATGGCCTAATGCCAAATGGAAAGATTGCAAAATCATATTCTAAAAACAGGAATCAGCTTCGGCTCTCCTATGTCTTGTCTGCGATATCACTTATGTGGAAGCAGACGTTAAACACCAAGAACTACTACTACATGTGACTAAATATTGACTTCTCACAAACATCTGATTTGAAGGTTTTGTTTTTATCTCATCATCTGTTTATTCAAGCTGTTGACATGATTCTTTTAGATAAGTAGGCTACTCATTCTCATGTTACATATCTGAACTTTACAATAAGCTAAATAGATGTTACATATCTAAACTTATCTAAACTTCACCTCCCAATAAGCTGAATAGATGTTACATATCTAAACTTTACTTCACAATAAGCTGAATAGATGTTACATGTACATACATATCTGAACTTTACCTCACAATAAGTTGAATACATGTTACATATCTAAACTTTAAAATTATACAGCAGTATCTGATAACCAGAATATTTCTATTCTATTTCCAGAGAAATTTTTTTTTTTTAAAGTTATTAGTATGACTTATCTTATGATCTATCTCTGTTTTGGTGTATTTTCAGAGTCCGAAAGAGAACCATACAATTACCCCAGAATTAGAAACAGTTTTACTAAAAACAATAGAAGCTTCTAAAAATCTACGTAAACAGGTTAGTCAAATAATGGAGAGGGAAATGAAAAAGCTGTAAAAGTTATCTCCCTTTAAAACTTCTAATACAGAGAGTTTATATCTCACAGTATTTTATAATTGTTATAATTAACGAATGAATCATCAATATACCCCTTTTAGCACTTGGTACATGTGATTAATAGAGACTATCCCAGTTTCTTGAAGAATATATTAATACAGGTACATCCCTGAACAGATCAAAAACAGTCTCAAACGGCTCTTCCTTAGCACTTGGTACATGTGATTAATAGAGACTATCCCAGTTTCTTGAAGAACATTAGAGAAAGGTGGTATACTGGTACATCCCTGAACAGTCTGAAACTACTCTTCCTTAGATCACCTCAAATCGCCCGAAATATGTGAATAGTTTTCTGCATTATAGGACCAAATATGACTTCGTGCGGGTGCCATAGCTGTGCATGTGACATGATGGAGCCCTAGTTGGGGAGTTTGGGCTGTCTAAGGAGCGATAGGGGTTGGGGGAGGGGTGTCTTAGGAGCCCTAGTTAGGATGGTTTGGGGTGGATCTAATAGGCAATAAATAAAGATAAATTTATTTTAAGGATCTAATAGGAAATATTATTTTCTAGTTGTTGGATACAGCGATGGAGCAAGCGTCTGATCTATTTAAGATGAATGAAGATCATGAATTATTGCGTGGGTTACAGCGAGCTGGTATCAACGGAGAAGTAGAATACGTGGATGAACTCACTATTAAATTTGATGAACATCAGGAACAGATTGAAGAGGTAAGATTAACATATGTATGTCATAGTTCTGACCGTTGTCGAGTCTCAAAAATTGTCAGATTTAGTTTATGAGGTATGAGAGAAAAACATATTCTAATCTTCATAACGCAGTTAGGATATCAACATTTTAAAAGCAATATTTTTTGTGGAATTTACGTCTTTACAGTGCTGAAATTTTGCATAGAGAAGCCCCCCCCCCCCCCCAATGTGATTAGTGATCCTATGCAAAAAAAAAGCTATTTGGGTCATAAGTGGCACTTAATATTAACAAATATTTATCACAAAAGAAAGAAAAATTCAAAAATTATTTGATCAACCTTCCCACATCACCTGAAGTTAGAATTGATACAGAATGCATTTCTGACACAATTTAAAGTATGAATTGATCGAGAATTCACGTCTGACAGAATGTAATGTAATATAAGAATTGATCCACAACTCACTTCTGATGTGTCAAATAAGAATTGATCGACAACACACTTCTGACTCGTCAAGTAAGAATTGATCCACAACTCATGTCTGACACCAATGCATAGACCAACATCCTAATTATGATACCCAGAAATGCACAAATGGAATATATGAAGATAAATGGTGGAGATCCCAACTCAGACAGACACTGCTGTTATAAAGTTGTTGTGTGGTTTTAAAGTAGCTAAGTCTCTAACTAAATATCATCCAAAATCTTCAACATTGAAAACACGATTTATTTGTCAAATTAAATCAACATTCATGTTGTGATCTTACCGGAAAAAGGTGGGCTTTTGATATCCAATATTTTAGACAAAATAAACATTTTACCATTGGTACACGAATCGTGTACCATAATGCGCTTCAGCCCCAGTTGTATCAAGAGACTCAAGGGACGAGGCTAGACACATTGCACCAAATCAAACGGCGTATGTAGACTGGAATAACCAGACGCTAGAAATTTGCACTCGCTTTAGACTGCTGGCTTAGTTCGCCGAACATAACTGATTTGAAATTGGAGTAAAAACGGAAACCATTGAATGTAAATCAGTTTATATACATTCATATTACAGTATTATATGCGTTGCGACCCACTTTTGTCAATTTCTAGGTCCCAAATGTTAGCGATTTAGCTCCTTTAACTGTTGTTTTTACCAGTATTTCTACATTAATGATTTCATGTTCTATTTATCTTATGTTAAATTTCTCTGGGTTGTTTTCAATAAAGATACAAATGATGTGAATTTATTTTAGGTTTGTAAATTATTTCGACATATGGCCACAACGGAACCGTTGATTATAACAGCTGAACATAATGACACTTTTATACACAGTATTGGTCCATTGGTGAGTACACTTGACGTATCTTCAATTACATGTGGCCTCCTGATACAACACTAAATGATATTTGATAAAGAAATGAAATAAAATGGGGTTTAACATCCTACTTCAATTGTTAAGGGGTCTTTTTCATGCACGCCAATTCGTACACGGGACATCTGTTTTTCGTACCATCCGAACGATGCTAAGTGGTCCTTTGCCAGGCCCTCAGTCCTGCACCACTGACAAGGAAGAACCACGCAGGAAAATTCCTGATGAACTTCCTCGGCCAATTGTTAAGGGGTCTTTTTCCTGATGAAATTCCTTGGCCAACGCAGGGATCGAAAATGCTACCTACAGGTTAACGAGCCAATGTCTTACTCACAGAATCATCATGGCCCCAATTTCATAAAGAAACATGTTGTCGTTTGGATTAGACGAAGAACTAAGTACGTTAAAGAACCACTGACATTTGGACTTCGAAATAAGAGTAGGCTGTAGCACCAATGTCCAGTCACTATTACCCATATAGCACAATGGATGCATGGCAAATGCCAATCTGCCTTGGCCCATTTAACATGCATTATGTAAGATTAATATAAAGAGCTGACAGTTCTCGCTATGATAGTTGAAAAATAGATAATAAGAAGGGAATATGTTGAAAATTTCAGTCAAATTACTTAATTCTGAACTAAGCTAAGGCCGCTAAATGTGCTAAAATTACATACAATAGCTGAGTTTTGATTTATATAACATTTCAGGCCTAAAGAAAGACCTCTGCGGAAAAATAAGATGTTAAAAACTTATTTCATTTCTTTACATTTCTGTTTTTTCATTTACTTATTTCAGACCCTGTTTGCAGCCCAGACATTAGCCCAGTATCCTAACAGTAAAATAGCTCGTGAGAATCTAGATGTATTCGCTGATGCCTGGGAGTCTCAAATAAACGATCTCTCAATACTAGTCAAAGAGGTTAACGATGTCTGTCTCGGCAAGATGGATAAACTTGTCTACTTATCGTTACCTAGACCTGGGGTAAGATTATCCAGTTCTATTCTGTTTAATTAATAAAGATATGATAATTATAATGAAGTCCTTGAAAAATTTCTCACTCCAAATTAAACAGGGGGTTGTATGGCTGAATGGTTAGCGCATGTGTGCTGTATTATAAGGTCTATCATTGAGTCAACTGGTATGGTTTTGATTCCCCAGTTTTATTTGACAAGGAGAAGGGTCCAACCTCAAGGGTTTTCTCTGGTTCTTCTGGTTTCCTCCCACTACTACATTCCCATATGCGCACATGAATTATTGAAATAAAATTGAACCATATGTTAGTCTCGAAATGACCTAGTTTGCGTTGAGTGGACGTTAAACCCCCTCTCTCTGTCTCTCAAATCAAACAGTTATATTGATTTTTTTTTTTTTTTTTTTTTTTTTTTTTGGAACGGAGGGCCTGACAAGGATTGCTGTCTAGTCCTTCAGATGAGACGAAAAATCGAGGTCCCGTGTATATATTGGAATGCACGTAAAAGATCCCCTGGCAGTTGGAATTCGATATAAGAGTAGGCAATAGTGCCGCTGCCCGGGCAAAATTTCCCTCATAGCACACTGGATGGCGTATGCCCGTCTTCATTAGCCCAGTATAGGAGCAGAACAGTAGGACGTTAAACCCCATTTCATTTCATTTCATTTCATTTATCGTTTTTTATACTCCGACCTGTCATCTTCTGATTGAAACATGTGGCGTTGATTAGGTAATCATGGTTTACAGATCACAAATGCGCTAAAATGACATATACATGACCCTAGAATACATGTTACTCGAATAATTTATTTTTGGCGACGTTTCAAGATTACTTTCAATTAACTTGTATTCCATATATTATTATCATTCTGTTACTAAATGCCGCTTACACAATTTATGACCATTTATATTGATTTAAAAGTGTACCGATATTCATTTCACATCCCAAATAATGCACTCATACGCCTTTTAATTATTTAATAGCAATTTAGAAAACTTTAAAAGCAAAAAAAATAAATTTTGTGGAACACTATAGATGTGGGTTGTTTAGCATACACCTAAATCAGACATCAGTATTTGACAATACTTTTCACTTGAGGGTTGAGTCACCAGTGAGGTTCAACAAAAAAAGAAGAACTATTAATATTTTAATAATTAAAGATACATTAGTTAAGAGTTGAATCCAGAGTTGGCCATTCTTGCTATAAAAAGAATTTCTTTATTCTGAACGGAATTGTCACTGTTGGAAGTTTGGACTAGAAATAGACATCAGACATCAACTGTGTCCACACCGTCTACGATAATTGCCTATCGTTTGATTGACGTTAGCTTGGTCGGCCATTTCTTCATTTAATTTTAAATGGACGACTGTTTAAATCCAAGCCATCTGAGGGTCTACAGAGTTGATTTTGAGCTTGCCATGTAAATAAAGGTCTTATTAATCATTTTTATAACATCTAAAGCCTAAATAAAGACTTGCAATAGGCATACTTATCTTTTGCATAATGTATGTTTAAGCCAGAGTAGGATTAGTAGTAATGTTTTTATTTTCACCTGAACAGATAATGAGTACGTCATCATCATCCTCATCAGTAAGTAAAATGTGTAACCCTCGTAATATTTATCGTTCACAAGCACAGTGGAATTTTATTTTCTTGTTCGTCATCTTTTTACAATATGTTTATTTTACAAATGTTTACTTTGTGTAGTGTGATTTAAATAGTTCTGATAACCATATTCGTTAGGATTCCACAGTGGCTCAGTGAATTAGGCACCGGTACTGACCAGGAGGTCCAGGGTTTGAAGCCAGGGTTGCCAGATATTTTCAAACGTGGTTTCAATCTGTCAGTGGTGTAGGACTGATGGCCTGATAAACTGATGTTCCATGTACATGTTGTCATGCGTAAAAAAGAACTTGAGTCAACTGGCATGGTTTCGAATCTCCAGTTGTACGTGACAAGGAGTAGGGTTGCCTGTCCAACCTCGTGGGTTTTCTCCAGGTCCTTCGGTTTCCTGCCACTGCTAAAGACCCCTACGCACAAGCGAATTACTGAAATAAAATTAAACCATATGTTAGTCCCGAAATGACCTAGCCTGTGTCGAGTGGACGTTAAACCCCATTTCTCTCTTTCTGTTGCCATTCGGGCCAAATTACCCTCATAGAACAACAAGGGATGGCATAGCATCATCTTCATTAGCCAGCTGGTTGGGGCTAGGAAGTTATGTTGAAATCCATTTCATTCATTCATTCCAAATTTCATTATCGTCATGAAATATATCCACCCCTAAGTTCACAAAGCATTCTTAGACTTAAGTTAATAATTTACATAAAATTGTTCGCCTTATTTTAATTAAAATATTGCCCTATATGCCTCAAATACATCAATAAGAAACTACAGTGGACTCTGTCAAATCCGACATCCTACGGGATCTTTAAAATATGTCGGATTACGCAGAGTGTCGGAATACTCAGTTTTCTCAAATCCGGAAGTATTATTGTAACTTCGAAAACCGGAAGTATTACTATAATGTAGCTTCGAATCCCCAGAACGTTATTCCCTGTAAAAATGATAAACCTTTCTGTACATTCAAAATTTTATTACATTAATTTTTATTTCATTTAACAATCGGCATGCGCAACGAATGTTTCCAACAGGTGCTAGGAAAATTTTTACGACTGAATAATTCGTGGGAAAATTCGTGGGTATTCTTGAGTATTTGTCACAACTGTCTTACAAGAGATTGTAAAATTATCAAAGTAATCAACAAAGACCTACGCGAGGGAGTTTTAATCTCACCGATAATTGATTGGTGATTGCTTGTTAATCTTTTGTGGCTTCACACCCACCGATTGAAGGCCGGATTATACAGTATTGATTCAATGGAAATCATGTGCCGGGACGGCTGATTGATGTCGTAATTCGGAATATTCAGAGTACGGATTACTCAAAGATTTTTTGGCTAAAATAATAAGGAAATAAATCGGGAGCTGGGATGGTAACACACCTTTAAAAGAGTAGTATGTGGTTATTAGTTCAATTCACTATTGTCACTGATAGAATTACAGCTAAAAACTTCCAAAATACAAATGTCAGTCTACAGGTATACAGTGCCTTGAAAATATGTTTTATACTTAACGTTAGTCCATTTTAAGGAATTTATGCTTTTGTGAATAAGGTTCTAGATTCCTTTAAGTATCTTTTGAGAATGATTTCAGAATCTTTCCAACAATTTTTTTTAACATTTTAGACCTTAACTGAGCCAACCAGAATGATCACTCTTACATAGTTTAAACAAACAGATTCCAAAACCAAGCTGGTTTTTTTTTTAAATAATGTTTTCTTCACTATTTTTCGATAATTTTTTGTTCACTATTTGTCAAATAAATTGTTTTTATTAAAAAAAAACAGAAAGATGTTACCACATTCATTACTTGACAATTTTTTGTTTGCTATTTTAAAATTTTCTTTGTGTTTGTCAAATCTCTTCACATTTTATTTTAGTTTTTTAATTTTTATTTTCAAAAATTTAAAATCACCTCTTTAATCTGTTGTCAATCTGGTGTGAATTATCATTGTGTCATTCCAAACATTGTTCTATTTGTTGTATGAATATTCTTATGAATATTTATATTCTTCTTATGAATATTTATATTCGGCTTATGAATATTCACATTCTTCTTATGAATATGACAAGATCTTTACTTTCAGTTTTACATCTGTTGTGGCATATAAAATGTAATAAATATTAAATGTGGGCTTAATCAAGGCTTTAAAAGAGGTTGACATTGAATTATGTAATTTATGAATAAAGAATTACATGCGGGTCTCAGGGCCGTAACTAACCCAGAGCAACGAGGGGGGCGGGAAGTGTTCTCAGGGGTGCTGTAAAATTAACGGACAATGTATATCTATTTTTTGTATGGTCAGGAATTTTTTCACTGGGGGGGGGGGGGGGGCAAAACTTTTCGCAGGTGGGGCCTTGCACCCCCCCCCTCCCTAGTTACGGGCCTGGCTGGTCTACACATTAGTGAATATTGAGGTATTATTATTAATGAATAATATCTGATTGTTCATACGCTAAATACATGGACAAAGACATTGCCTACTTGTTTCAAAATTACTTTGATGTTTACAACTGGTATAAGAAATACAACAAAGTAGACAGTTTTAAAAAAACGTATTTATTATTTGCAGAAACATGGAACAACATCTCGATCTTTACGTCCAGCTAGATTAGATGCTGAGGTAAGTATTTACAAAAAGGCTATGAAAAACAGAATAATCTGTCATAATTAATCAGCTTTTAATCTTACTTATTGTAGAATATGCATAATAACTTAAGAAATTCTAATAGTAGCATTGTAACCCCTGAATCATTTAATCTTGTGTATTTAGCACTAATGTCTTACACTTTCATCAGTGGTGACGAAACTCGCTGGAAATCATAGAGTTGTTCAAGACAGGGTCGAACTTGACTATAACGTAACATTTTATTCTGCTTTCAGGAACAAGCAAAGATTGCTAAACTTGGTCTGGAGATGAAACTGATCACCTCCGAGATGGATGCAGAAACAGATAAATGGGAGGAGCCAGATAATGATATAGTGAAGAGAGCGAGGAATATGTCCAGTATGGCGTTCTCTATGTATTTATTTACCCGTGGGGAAGGTGCTCTACGAACCACGCAGGATCTTTTTGTTCAAGCTGAGTTTTTCGCGGAGGAAGGCAATAAATTATATAAAACTGTTCGTGATTTTGCACAGAGGGTAAGGACCTTTCAATTATGTCATGTTTTTAGGTAAATGATTGGATATTTTGGGTGCTGGTTGTCTAAGCAGGGTATCTTACTGGATGGGTGTGGGGGGCATGGTGCTGGCTCACTCGGGGTATCTTGCTGGGTGTGGAGGGTATGGTGCTGGCTCACTCAGGGTATCTTGCTGGGTGTGGGGGGCATGGTGCTGGTTCACTAACTAGGGTATCTTGCTGGGTGTGCGGGGGCATTGGGCTGGTCTACTAACTAGGGTATCTTGCTGGATGGGTGTGTTGGGTATGGAGCATGGATTACAAACCAGGGTATCTTGCTGGATGGGTGTGGTGGCATTGTGCTGGCTCACTAACCAGGGTATCTTTTTAGGTGTGGGGGGGGGGGGGCACGGTACTGACTCACTTACCAGAGTATCTTGCTGGATGGGTGTGGTGGGCATGGGGCATGGCTCACTAATCAGGGTATCTTGCTGGGTGTAGGGGGCACAGTGCTGATTCACTAACCAGGGTGTCTTGCTGGATGAGTGTGGTGGGAATTGTGCTGGCTCACTAACCAGACAGCCTTGGTGTTTCCAGTGATGTGAACAGAGATCCCGTCTATACCATTGGCAGCATGTTGACAGTTGGAGATCGATTTAACATCAGCTCATAGCATGGCTGTCCAGGCAAAATTCCCTTATAGCTCATTGTAAAAGGGTTCAATGTTGTATTTTATATATATATTTCCTGTTATTTTAGGTTCCATCATGTCCTATAAAAGAAGAAATGTTAGCGTATGTAGATCGCATTCCTGTCTCCTGTCAACAGATTCTATTTACACTCAAATCATCAACCTTTGGTAAAACACCAACGTTTAATAAGGTAGGTCCTTTAACTTATAAAACAGACAGGCTCTTTAACTTATAAAACAGACAGGCCCTTTAACTTACAAAACAGACAGGCCCTTTAACTTATAAAACAGGCAGCCCCTTTAACTAAGCAATATGTACTTTTTACCGGGAAAAACCTGTGCACCACTGAATGAACTGACATCTTTATGTACACAATTGTAGTCCTTGAGTGGCATTTAGCAATTGAGCAAAATCAAAAACACAACACAATTTATACGAAATACAATCACTGGTTTACAAAACCCTCCATCATCTCAACACTTTCGGGGTCAGAATGTGTTAAAATATCTCTACTTTGATCAGAATGTGTTATAATATCTCTACTCTGATTATAATGTGTTATAATATCTCTACTCTGATTATAATGTGTTATAATATCTCTACTCTGATTATAATGTGTTATAAATTTACTCTTGATTATAATGTGTTATAAATTTACTCTGATTATAATGTGTTATAAATTTACTCTGATTATAATGTGTTATAAATTCTCTGCTCCGATTATAATTTCTTTACTATTATTATTGTTCTAATATCACTACTCTGATTATAATGTGTTTAATTTCTCTACTCTGATTATAATGTGTTCTCATATGAGACATAATATGTCTACTCTGGTTATAATGTGTTATTTTATCTCAATACTTTTAACTTAAAATGTGTTCTAATAATTTATCGGAGTACAACTGTAGGGTTTATAGTTCTAAACAAGTGTAGGGGGGGGGGGAGGATGGCAGAATGGTTAGCAAGGTGCTCGCTGGATCATAAAGTCTGTCATTGAGTCAACTGTCATGGTTTTAATTTCTCAGTTGTACGTGACGAGGAGTAGGGTCGCCTGTCCAACCTCGTGGGTTTTCTCCAGTTTCCTCCCACTGCTAATGACCCCTAGTCAAGACCCCTATGCGCAAGCAAATTATTGAAATAAAATTGAACCATATGTTGATCCTGAAATGATCTAGTTTGTGTCGAGTGGATGTTAAACCCCATCTCTCTCTCTCTCTACAAGTGTATGATAATCTATTTCAGGTTGATAGTACTATACAAGAAACTAAGAATTTGATGAATGTCATCGCTAAAATAGTTACAACTTGTTTTATCTGTGCGACAAAGGTACGTGTTTTATTATTTGATTGGTTTAAAAAGCTTGTTGGTTTAAATGAGAAAAGATTATTCTTATTGTCCCAACTTGCCAGAATAAAGGTTCAATATTGATTTTAACAACATACATAATCAGCGGGTTGGAATGGCCTAGTGGTCTAGAGTGTCGCTCTTCATGCTCTAGGTGGCCAGTCACCTCTGGCTTGTGTTCGTGGTTTCGACCCCTGGTCTGGGCGTTGTATGTGGCTTGGAGATAGGGGTGCCTTTTCAACCTCGTGGGTTTACTCCAGGTACTCCAGTTTCCTCTCATATATAAGACCCCTGCGCATGTGCTAAGCATAATAAAATTAGACAACTTGTCTGTGATATCACGGGGGGTTGGATGGCTGAATGGTTAGCGTGCGCGTGCTGTATCCCAAAGTCTGTCATTGAGTCGACTGGCGTGGTTTCGAATCCCCGGTTGTACGTGGCAAGGAGTAGGGTCGCCTGTCCAACCTCGTGGGTTTTCTCCGGGTCCTCCTGTTCCCTCCCACTGCTAAAGACCCCTACGCGCAAGCGAATTATGTAAATAAAATTGAACCATATGTTAGTCCCGAAATGACCTAGTTTGTGTCGAGTGGACGTTAAACCCCATTTCTCTCTCTCTCTCTCTCTCTGTGATATCACCATCCGTAGAAGTGGACGTTAAATACTAAAACAAGAACATACACAATTAAATGTATTTTATTATATTAGGGCCCAGTTCGGAGCAGAACAGTAGGACGTTAAACCCCATTTCATTTCATTTATTATATTAGGTGCATATATAGATAAGACACAGGGTGAGTTTAATTTGTATTTAATTGTTAACTGTAATATTGAATGTTTTTCTATCTTTCAGTTCAACATAGATTACCGTTCATCACCAAGTTCCTTATCATTACGTTATCGTAGCCCCGCCCAGTTCGACATGAGATCTAGTGGATCGGACACCACCGATTCTGGACTTTCTCCGCATTCTGACCTATATCGCAGCGCGTCTCTTAATCGCAACATCCACTGCTCATGACAACCGTAACTCAGAACTATTTCTCGTCCTGTTGGATGACTAGATCCGATATTTTTTTTTGTGGAAGTGGATTTCAAGTGGATGGATTGTCTTCAATTCAAAATGTTTGTTCAAGAATGTTGTTTGTCCAGGATCATCGATTCATGTTGCTATGTTACAAGAGGAGTTCCGTGCCGAAAAAAAAGATGTGAAATTAATGCTCCTGGTTGCATGATCAATAAATAATCATTTTTTAATATTTGTGTCATAAAGCTACAAGTTGGTTTAAGAATTACAACCACAAGGTCAGCAATTAGATATTAGGGTCAACAAACTTTGTATTGTCCAGTACAGATGCTTAAACAACAAACTACTTACATCCAGGAGATCAAAGTGTTTAGATTTCCGACATTATTTTAATGGAAACCCAATCAATGACCTGTCACAAGTACAATAAAAAAAAATAAAAAAGCAACCAGAAAGAAATGTACTCCAAAACAAGTTGTGCTTTTAAACAGTTTTATAGGTTTTAATTGAAAAGTATTTGAATATACCAGTCGATATGTTTTTGTCGTTTTTTAAAACTAAGTCCAGTGGGATTATTGCAATATAAACTGAAGGTGCAAATGTTAATAGTCTAAAATCAACGTGTAAAATATCTTCATGTTTTAATATTCTGTGTTCTATTTTACTTTTAGAAAATGGGATGTGTTCTGAGCTTGGTGAAATTGTCAAATTATTAAGTTTGTTGATTATGATTGCTTGCATTATTTTTTGCTTTTTATTCAGGGTAAAATTTTTTAACTTACTTAAAAATAATCCACAAATTTTATTAGGCTTACAAATCTGTTGATTTAGCAAGATTTTTTGCTTGATAACGCTGGTCCTTTTTGTGGTCATTTGTACGTTTAAAAGGGTTATTTTTTATGTTTAAGAAATTTTAAATGTTTAAAGATTGGACAAGTTCTGTAAATAATGCTTTTATTTAAATTACATTGTTATCACCCTTTAACTTCCCTCTTCCTTCAAATTGTTTCTCAAATATTTTCAAAGTTTTTAGCCTTCAATAAGACTACTTTTGTAAACATATTAATCACAAACTGACAAAAGTTTTACGGCCTTCTTTCAACCAGGTTAGTTTGGTAAACTTTATAAATTATAGGCTTATTTAGTTAATTTCTGAAACGGAATAATTTCAGTACATTCTATAAGGTATTTCACAATTGGAAATCTTTGGTACCAGGATAGATACTACACCTTTCTTCATCCTGGTCAAGGGTTGACAGATGGTTGATAGTTTATTGTAATAGAAGTAAATATGAAATCTGCCATATATTTGATTTCCAATTTTTGTGATATGAAATTAATATAGTAATATTCCATAATAATTAAATTATATTGGTGCTATGCTGCTTTTAAAAAAATTCACTTTGATCCCTTTCCATGTTCTTCACATATATCCTCCACCCAACCCACCCCACCCCACTCCATTTCGCAGCAATTCATCACCCCACACTTCTCATCCATAATATCATCATTCCAGATTTGTCATTTGTATATATGTAAATTAGTAGCTTAATAGTTATTTTCCTTTTAAAGTGTCTTTTTGCCTTCATTCTGCACATTCTATATCTTTGACATTTTTAACAGCATGAAATGAGTATATTCAATGATATTCACTGTTCTATATTTCACAAAGAGAAACTGGTAATTACAACCCAGTGAGTCTGCTGTGTATTATATTTAAATATATTATCAACTCATTCTCTATATAAATATAATATATTAAAGTTTAAGTTGGTTTGTTTCAACTCCTTCTAAGCGGCAAAGTAGCGCTCTATCAAACACCTTTATCTAGAAATTGTCAAAAAATTATCTCTATTTTTCTGCCTATTCTCGGGGAGGATAAGGACCATCATCTGTCTATTCTAGATGATAAGAATGATCTGCTTTATTCTTAGCTAAATTATGAATTTTAAGGCTCATATTTAAGGTTTACATTGTAAACTTTACAATATCAATATATACTTATTTTTTTTATGTAAACAGTATTTTTTTACAAAGAATACATACATGTATCAAAAAGCTCTTTATAGGCATTTTTTTTTTCATAAAAGCTCCAACATAATTTGCTGCAATATTTTATTTTTGGTTAGTGAGTTATATAATTTTTTTTGTAGATTTTATTTTACTTTTAGAAATTGTTAATTATATTTAACTATGTATATTATTTAAATTTTTAAAATTAGTTTGTATGCTTTATTGTACAGTATCTCTCTGACTGGGTTCACATTTTAGCAGTTTTATTTCATGTGGTAGACTCTTAACCCTTTATCATCACCTGGATTGTTCGTTCCCTTCCATTCATAGAGGGTTAACACCTGGTTCCACTATCGCTAACAAATCTTTCTTTAGAAAGTTGACACAAGAGCGAATTATATTTGAGAAGGAAGTCCAACTTAGGGAAGGAATAGGAGAACAAAAAGGAATTTGTAACCCCCATCCCGACCCGACAGTTAAAGGTTCTTTTGTGCCGTTTGAGAGTTATGTGATTGTGTGTAGATGGCTTATCTACTGCTGCTCCGTTTTATTGGAAAGATAAGTGCTGGTGTGAGTTGACCATAAAATATGTTTCTTCATCCTTGGAGGACATGTTCGGATGGGACGAAAAACCGAGGTCCTGTGTACTCATTGGCGTGCACGTAAAAGATCTCTTGGCAGTTGGAATTCGATATAAGTATAAGAGTAGGCTGTAGCGCCGCTGTCCAGGCAAAATTTTCCTCATGGAATACAGCATGGCGTATGCCTGTCTTTATTAGCCCAATCGGAGCAGAACAGTAGGACGTTAAACCCCTTAGTCCCATTTATTTAAAAACACAAACATTTAATATGTTTTTAGTCGTCACCAGAATTGATATTATTTCATTTATACCATTTAATTTTTTTATCATTTTTGTGAGCAATAATAATATTACAGTTAATTTTATGAAATGGCAATGCAAAAATTATATTAATTTTTATTTATTGAATTATTATTTAGGGTACTCATTTTTAATTTCCATTAATTCCTATTAGACAATTATTATAGTTTTGATTTTATGAAAGTATTATGTCATAATTATAATCAAAGTCTTCTCCTGTTAGATGTCATCTTGTTTTATTAAACACCTCATACTGTGTACCATAATGCGCTTCAGCCCCAGTTGTATTGAGAGACTTGAGGGACGAGGCTAGACACATTGCACCAAATCAAATGGAGTTAAGTAGACTAGAATAACTAGACGCTAGAAATTTGCACTCGATTGAGATTGCTGACTTATTTCGCCGAACATAACTGATTTGAAATTGGAGTAAAAACGGAAACCATTAAATGTAAATCAGTTTATATACATTCATATTACAGTATTATATGTGTTGCGACCCACTTTTGTGAATTTCTAGGTCCCAAATGTTAGCGATTTAGCTCCTTTAAATTGTTGAAGTTGCATTTAGTAACTGAACGAGAATAACATATGACACAATTGAAGAGCCCAGGGGAGGAACGATCTAAGAAACCTGATGGATAAGAATTCTTGATGCGACCGGGACGCTGTGGATTTAGATCGTTCTCCACCGGGAGGTCAATTGAGAAGGGTTATGGTTCGATGTGACTCCGATCGTTTTTACATGATATCGATTGTTCCACAGAAAGCTTATAAAATTTGCTACCAGATGGCGCCATTAACTGGGGTTCATGGAAAAAGTGACTTAGATCGTTCTTCCCCTGGGCTTTTCAATTATGTGGAATACAAGTTACTTAAAAGTTTATTTCTGGTGATGTTTCAACAAGGGTTCTCTCTCATCTTTCGCTTGATAAAGATGAAAGAACCATCGTTGAAACATTGCCAGAAATAAACTTTTACGTTATTTGTATTCCGTAATCTTGTGTTGTGTGTTATTGTTCCATACACTTGGTAATATTTCTCTTCTTCTTGGGGCAACACGCTGAGTACAATCCGCATGAAACTCAACTTGCTTGTATCCAGAATTGTGCATTGGTTGACAAACTCTGATTTTTTTTTTTACTTGATGGCACAGATGACATCAAGAATCGGACGTTCATGTGATAAGGTTGAATTTCTTATTTTGTAAAAGGAGTTAAAGACTAGAATTGCAGTTATAAAGTTATACTCGAGTCCCTCTCCCTTGAAGAGTTATTTTACAGAAATGTTTTCTTAGGATAGTTTAGTGTTATATTAATTTTAGTTGACTTGGCTATTGTTCCATTTATCAATTTATCATTTTCAACTTGTTAATCTCCATGGTAAACTGTTCCCAATATTTTGAGTATTTTTCAAGTTCCAGTAGTCCCAGGCAGTGTTTATATTTTGTGTATTTGTATGTTCTGAATCAGTGGTTCCCAACATTTGTCCCCTCACAGACCCCCGCCTCCCTACATCTGCATATACTCTATTAACGTGACTGATATCAGCAACTATAATTCATTCTCCAAATACCAACAATTTCATATTGTGCATTATCTCATGCCCCCCCCCCTTCCCAAAATTAGTTCAAAGTTGAAAGACCCACCCCTATGAGGGAAGCACTGACTGAAATGGTGTCGGTATCTCCACAGTGAGTAGATTCTATTACCCATTGACTTGACAAGATACCCAACAAGAGGGTTGCTCATTTATGTGAAGTAACTTGTGCATTATGGCCAGAATTGATAACAGTTTTAGGAATGTCCAAATTAATGAATTAACCAGTATTTTAAGAGATTTAATTATTTTACCTCAATTATAAGTCAATTTTAGTTTGTATTAATCTTTTAGTTTTATTTACATATAATATTATATACATCATCATCATACCATCATGTTATATCACTGCAAGAACATAAACATTTGCCGAAAACTCAAATCTTTTCAATAGCATTTATTATTCTAGTGTTCAGTCATTTTTAAAATTATGAGGAGACTTAAATTCTGTATAATAAATGTCGGCCAAACGCTTTCTAGGTTTATAATGTCTTGACAAACTTTTTAAAGAGTGCACTGTCCTTTTTTTTAAACCAGAGATGTTTTGAGAACCACACAAAGTCTGCTTTCATTCTTTTTCCAAGGTTTATTTTTATTGCTCTAAAAAAAATGCCGGTTAAAAGGTATTGATTAATTTTTCCAAAGGTGCATAGTAAAACATATAAAATACAGATGTGACATCATCCTTCGATTTTTGCATATCTTTAATTCAATATATGGGCAACGTGCCACTTGTATATTATTTATCCTAGATGAAATATTCTATGATAATTTCATTGTAATGCACATGTGGGATAATGTCTGTATTTTCAATTGTTTAATCGTCTCTAGCAAGACATGTTGATACAACACGCTGGTTGGCGTCCTCGTGCAGTGTCAATACATAAGGTCTGTCATTGAGTCAACTGGTGTTGTTTCGATTCCCTGGTTGTACTTGACAAGGGGTAGTTTCGCCTGTCCAACCTCGTGGGTTTTCTTTGGGTCCTCCGGTTTCCTCCCACTGGTAAAGACCCCTACGCGCAAGCGAATTATTGAAATAAAAATTAAACCACATGTTAGTCCCGAAATGACCTAGTCTGTGTCGAGTGTTTAGCATGTCTTACTCTTGACTATTAAACCACAAAAAGATCTTTACCCGTGCTGAGACTTAACTTGTTCCAAAACATGATATTATTTTTTGTTTCTTTTATTTCTTTGAAATGTTTTTTTTAATTTTCAGGAATTGAGCTTTATTTTTGTTTTTCTTGCATTCCTGTTGTTTACTTGTTGCCTTTTTGTAAAAAATAATATTGTTCTTTGTAATTAACAGAGGCCATACTTGTATTCATATAAGTTTCTATCTCTGTGAAAATGTAAAGGATACTTTTTTTTTTTGTTTCATTCTGTTTATGTGAATAATTCTTATAAAGCAAGATTCCTTGTGGTTAAATTTAATTTTAATTATTGTCTATAACAAATTGTAACATTATTTACACCCTACCCTTAAAGGAATCCAACTTTAATTTAAATACTATACATGGATATTTTCAAAATATACTAATCCATTAGCACTTGACTCCCTGCAATTGCCCGAAACTACTGCTGCCTATAACAACTCAAACTGTTCGAGTCCCGCAAATAACTGTGAACTATTTAAGATCTGTATACTAATTCTGTGACTCGGATGATTTGAGGTGGTCTAGGAAGCAAAATTTTATGACAGTTTCGAAAATAATCTACCAATATTATTTTTCTGTAATTGATTGAAGGCACTAGGATAATTAATATTTACATGTACCATGTGCTGAAAGGTTCAAATGGATCTAAAAACAAATTTGGCATTATTCTGCAACAATGATTTTTTTTCAACTGGCCTCTGTAATTCTGTACTGTGATATTCTCTGTGTTGTAAAAGATGATGTTCTTTGTATCAAGTAGAAAAATTAACTGAAACTAGACACAAGAAAAACTGTTAGAATTTAGTTTGTATATCAATAATTCTGTCAATTCATTTCTTAATAAAATATAATACATTATATTACTGTTATCCTTGTCACCTGAGTCAAGCAATTTGGTGGTGCAGGAGCAGCATCAAATTGAATCTTACTTTTCACTTCCAAAATGTCCCCAACAATGCTAACTATCCATGGCTGTCAAGAGCAGTAACAAGCCTCAGTGCTAAAAGCTGTCTTTCCTCTGTACATGACTAGGACACGGCTGACCCCCCTCCCTTAAATATGCGTGATTGATATCATCTCCCTCCAGTTGGTGAGCTTGATACCATCCCACTCCCCTTGGTGAGCTGGATACCATCCCACTCCCCTTGGTGGATTTGATACCACCCACTCCCCTTGGTGGACTTGATACCACCCCCTCCCCTTGGTGGGCTTAATACCAACCTCTTCCCTTCCCTTGGTGGGATTGATACCATCCCACTCCCCTTAATGGGCTTGATACCATACCCATCCCCTTGGTGGACTTGATACCATCCCACTCCCCTTGGTGGACTTGATACCACCCCCTGCCCTTCCCTTCCCTTGGTGGGCTTAATACCACCCCCTCCCCTTCCCTTGGTGGGATTAATACCAACCCCCTTCCCTTGGTGGGCTTGATACCACCCATTCCCCTTACCTTGGTGGGCTTAATACCACCCCCTCCCCTTCCCGTGGTGGGATTGATACCATCCCACTCCCCTTAATGAGCTTGATACCATCCACCCTCCCCTTGGTGGGCTTGGTACCATCCACCCTCCCACATGTTGGTGTGATTGATCCCATCTATCATTTACATATTAACTGTCATTTCTATCAGACCCTCATTCAATTGCATTGGAAATGCTTCAATCCTACTTTTCTGCACCAACCAGGCTAGCTAATGAAGATAGGGATATGCCATGCAGTGGGCTATGAGGGAAATTTGGATTAACTTACTCTTCGTAAAATTCTGTCAAGGATTCTTTAACATGCAAGCCAATGTGTACAGGAGACCTTGGTATTTGGTCCTGACTACATGGTGTTCCTTGCTAGGGGGAAATCCTGAGGAATTTTCTTAACCGACACCAGGATTGAATCTGGGACCTGCCCAGCACCTTACACACTGATCCACAGTGGTTCCCTGGTAGTCACTAATCAATAAGGTGTCTACAACAGTGGTTAGATCTATCTGATAAGGCCAACTTCAAGTTTGGTCACGGGTACAGGGCTAGCACTAATCCCAACCCTAACCCTGTACCTAGCCCTAACGCTTACCCTAACCTGTAATCTCGCCAACAACCACGTGCCCTAACCTTATTAACATCTCAGCGACCTTGACAATAATTAAATTGGCCTTAACAAATAGATTTAGCCCTACAACACGATGAACACATGGGAGAATAATACTCCAGCGGGGTTTTGATGGCCTAGTGGTCTTAAGTGTTGCGCTTCGAGCTCTAGCTGGACGGTCACCTCTGGCTCGCCGTTGAGATTTCGATCCCTGGTATGGGCGTATATGGCTTGTAGATAGGGGTGCCTTCTCAACCTCATGGGGTTACTCCGGGTACTCCAGTTTCCTCCCACAGGAAAGACCCCTGCATGAGTGTACTTAGCATAATAAAATTAGACAACTTGTCTGTGATAACACCATCGGTAGACATGAACGGTTAAACACTAATAGAAGAAGGAAAACAACACAAATCCAGAGGAGAATTCCATTTCAACATATTTATAGGATGATTTTTACAACGGAGATAGATATTTGTTACTATTTGCCGGTATAACAAATAAAATATAATAAAATACCTGAAAAGCTAAAGATCTGACTTGTAATTAATTACCAATTTTACTAGGCAATTTTTAGTTACTTTGTTGGTCTACAATTGACATTTTCTGTCAGGTTTGGGTAAATATTCATGGTATGAGGCAGAAAAGAGAAAGATACAGAAATGGGGTTTAACGTCCACTCGACACAAACTAGGTCATTTCGAGACTAACATATGGTTCAATTTTATTTCAATAATTCACTTGCGCGTAGGGGTCTTTAGCAATGGGAGGTAACCAGAGGACACGGACAGGTGACCATACTCCGTGTCACGTACAACCGGGGAATCGAAGCCACGCCAGTTGACTCAATGACAAGACCTTATGATACAGTGCACATGTGCTAACCATTTGCCAATCCAACCCCCTGGTATGAGGCAGAAAAATAATAATGTTAATATGTTGGATAGGGTCATATACCGTAAATAGGTACACAAATATTAGCATACCAGTAATCATGTATCTCAAAATTTCTATGTTTAACCTCATACAAGCTTACGAGCAAGACATTACCACATGTTGTTCTGTCTGTGGTTGAGACTCGAAATTTTTATTGGGCTGACCGCTGAAGGCTCTCAAGTTGAGAGCCTTCAGCGGTCAGCCCAATAAAAATTTCGAGGAAGAGACACAAACATTAATGTCAACAGATGACGATTTGGTTGTCTGCATCCACATTGTAGTAGTTGTCTCCCTTTAATAGTAAACTCAAAAGCTCATTAGTTAACTCATTTATCGAGTCTCCAGGCCAAGAACCAAACACACTGGATTTGCCTCCCTTTACCCAATGGTATTATGTTTTAATTGTATTTGACTGTTATTTTTGTTGTATTTGATTGTTATTTTTGTTGCATATTCTGCGTATATTTGTCTACTTGTCGAAACGTTGCTTAGTATTAATCTCAGTAATTGTTTATCCATAAAATTGTACCTTGTGTTAATATGGAAACAGGAAAAGGGTACGGCAACACTCCCTTAGAGAGTAATTAAAGCTGAACAGGCTGGTACATCTGCGTGGAGACTGGATCAAAAAATGACATCGACGGGGCAAAGTAGAAAATAAAATTAAAGAATTCCCGCTCAACAGAAAACACAACACAAACTAGGTCATTTCGAGGCTAACACATGTTTTAATTTTTATTTCAAGAATTTGCTTGTGTGTAGTGGTCTTTGTCTTTTTAGTAGTGGGAGGAAATCATCGGACCAGGAGAATCTCCACTAGGTTGGACGGATGACCATAACCCCTTGTTACGTACAAGCAGAGAATTGAAACCACGCCACCTGATTCAATTATAATCTTTAGCGCATGTATTAAATCATTTGGCCATCTACCCTGAAGGGAGTAGTGAATAGGTCATTTTAACAGGGAATATATCTTATGACTTCACAGAGGTGGTTGGATTGGATGGCCGAATGGTTAGCACGTGCGCACTGTATCATAAAGCCTGTCATTGAGTCAACTGGCATGGTTTCGAATCCCTGGTTGTAATTTTATAATCCCCGTATAGGTAATATTAATCCGTTACGTATACACATGCCTAATAATTATATTGTTTATATATACCTGATATTTGTAACCAGATGATAAATTGATAATTGAATAAATGTATATTATTCTGATAATTCAAATAAATTTATATTTCATCAATAAAAAAGAATAATTAAATAAATTTATTGTGATAATTTATCAATAAAATAGTATAATCAAATAAATTTTTATCTTGTTAATTAAATATATTTATATTTTGATAATCAAATAAATTTATATTTTGATAATCAAATAAATTTATATTTTATGAATAAATTAGAATAATCAAATAAATTTATATTTTATGAATAAATTAGAATAATCAAATAAATTCATATTATTGTGATAATTCACCAATAAAATAGAATAATCGAGTAAATTTATATTGTTGTGACAATTCACCAATAAAATAGAATAATCAAGTAAATTTATATTGTTGTGACAATTCACCAATAAAATAGAATAATCGAGTAAATTTATATTGTTGTGACAATTCACCAATAAAATAGAATAATCGAGTATATTAATATTGTTGTGACAATTCATCAATAAAATAGAATAATCGAGTAAATTTATATTGTTGTGACAATTCATCAATAAAATAGAATAATCGAGTAAATTTATATTGTTGTGACAATTCACCAATAAAATAGAATAATCGAGTAAATATGACATACAATATATTTCTTTACACCTGTTTGTTTGAACAGATCAAGGTACGTGTCCACAACTAGAATTAAAGTCATCGTCTAACTCAATACTCAATGAAAACTGCCCAACCTCAGTCATTGTGTGATTCATACCCTAATGTGTATTCAGAGATTAAATAAACCGTTTTGTCATGTCGTCTTGTGAGTCTATCTTTCTGGTAAACGCGCATACATTTGTATATCAATACTGTGTAGTTATCGACTGGCGTGAAAACTATCAAACACTTCACGGTCTTATGATTACATTCGTTAAACACCTGGGAAACAAAGTCTACTTTTTTTTGTTCACTGAAATGTAATTCATCACGATCGACACATATTTTAGGAGTTCGTCACGGACCCATATATTAGATCAAAATATTTTTTTATGTAAATGATGAAACTCAATGTGAATTCAATCCTGTTAAATTGATTTTGTTAGCACATTGTGAATATTTAAAAGATATTGGAAACCTTATTTAAATTCATTATTTCTCTTACCATTATGTCTTATAAAATATTAAATGTTCATTTACAACACCAAAGAAAACATTTTAATGTCTTTGTAAGTCATTTGCATTTTTCCGCAAAAAAAAAAAATTTTCCATGACTTAATTCATGTTAATTAACTGTACTCAAATTGATTATTTTAAATTTTATTAAGAAAAAAATAATATCCACAGTTGATATTCATCTGGCTTGGATTGAATCTGATAATAAAGAAGCCCTTAAAGCACTTAATCCATGCCATAAAGTCTGTCATTGAGTCAACCGGCGTGGTTTCGAATCCCCGGTTGTACGTGACAAGGAGTAAGGTCACCTGTCCAATCTCGTGGGTTTTCTCCGGGTCCTCCGGTTTCCTCCCACTGCTAAAGACCCCTATGCGCAAGCGAATTATTGAAATAAGGTTAAACCATATGTTAGTCCCGAAATGACCTAGTTTGTGTCGAGTGGACGTTAAACCCCATCTCTCTCTCTCTCTCTCTTAATCCATGCTAAAATGGTCTGAATTATTTTGGCCCAAA